CTATAAACGTGATTCTTGAGCAAGTTTATTGTAGTTTAGGAATCAGGATGTTTGAGAGAGCAGTGTCATTTGGCTCACTGCTTGGAAGGTTAGGATCAGTAATCAGTGCCATTCATTACCTAATCAGTCTTTTTTTTTTTGCCCGAAAATACGTTTATGCAAAGCTTTCCACCATCCCCAAAATCTTATTGTTTGTATCAAATCTAAGTTCTCCATTTTTCTTTCTCCAGTGAATAATGAATTATAATCTATCCTGGGGGCCATGACTAGCCAAATTTTGGTTAGACACGTCACATGCCAATAAAGGTGGGGGAAACAGCTCTTTGATAGAGAAAGAAGTTGGCCATTGAGGGAACCAAATGAAGCGGGTGTGTCAATCTACATCTTCATTTTGCACCCGATGCTGGAGGCACAGGGACTTCACTGCAAGGGAATATGTTGATGTGCTGCCATGTATTTTAGGGTTCTCTTTTGCAAAATATAATGCCCATGTTATGGGCATGGCAGACAGAATCTAGCAAAATTTACATGGATGAATTGCTATTGTTGACTTTGTATAATTAATAATGTTCTTATTGATTTGTATATATTCACATTGTCTCATCTTGTCTTCTTTATATGTTCAAAGCTTATAACTTGCAAGTTGCAGAGTTTTGCCTTGTAGAATTCGAATAAATAAGAGCTATGAACCAAGCTCATTAAAACACCGACCAAGTATAGTACATATGAAATACATACGTGTAGTATTCGGTAAATGCGAAAAATTCAGCTATCATATAAAAAATTTAAAATTATTTGTAGTCTTATTTTTTTTAATAGTATGCGTGCGTATAATAAGTGTATAAACCATATGACAAAAGTGTATAATTCGAAAAAAATTACGGATGCACATATATAACACACAAATAGTACATTTGCGTTTTAAAAAACACATTATTTTATATAATTGAGAAATGTACGAAAAAATAGAAATACATACTTGTATAATATGCTAGTTTACTAACTATCTATTTGGAAAAAAAAAATGATGGAAAGAGAAAAAAGTTGGTATCTACATTAATTGATTAATTAATTTGATTAATATAGAGGAGGAGAGGAGAGAAGACATGCAGACGCCAAACTGTTTGAAATTTTAAACGCTACGAATGCCAGCAAGTCAATGTGCTGTTTTTGCCTCCGTGCAACCCAACAGCTACTCCTCCTTCCTCACTCCGTCTGCCAGCTCACCACCCCGTTCCCGTTATTACTTTATTTATTTATTTATTTTTAATTTTGCCTTCCTTTCAATTTCATTTCAAACACACAAACCACGTCAGCGCTGACGCTGACCAAACGGCGACGGAACAATCTTTCCGTTCCTTTTTCACAACATAACGCCGTATATTCCCAGATTTCACGTTGCAATTATAGGCCCATTTTTGGCCCAACCTCTCTCTCTCTCTCTCTCTCTTCTCTCTCTCTCGCTTTGCTTTCAGAGTCATTTCTTTTCCCGGAAAAAAAAAAAAAGTTTCTCTTTTTGATCGAATTCATGTCGGTACGTAATCGCCTTCGTCTCTTTCTTCAATCTGAATATAAATTCTTAATATTTGTATGCTTTTTTGTTGTTTATTTTTAATCTTTGTGATGCTTAATTTGCTGGATTTGCTCCGGTTTTTTATTGGCTTTAGCTGTATTTAATAGATTTCTTGGTTAATCTGTATTAATTCAATTGTAATTGACTCAGATCAATCTATTGTAGTATTTATTTTGCATTAATTTTGAGCAAAATTTATGTTTTCTTCTTTTGTTTTATGATTTTCGAGTTTCCGCAGTTAATGATGCAATTTTGGATTTCCAGAGGAGCAGATTTTAACTTTTCAGTTTTCTTTTAGTTTGGTTTCAATAGGAATGGTGAAAATGAAACGACCAGAAAAGGAATGGTGAAAATGACAAATTTTCCCTTATCTTTCTTACAAAATTATCAAGTTAGAATATTTCGAGAGTCTGCATTTCTATTTAGTGTAGGTATTGTTATTATTTGTTGTCCTTCATTGTTTGTGTGGGGCATATAATCTTATACAAACTTCTACCTAATTCATGGTGATTTTGCTTAGTATATTAAGGGCATTTGATCTTTCCTAAGTATTCCACGCTCACGTATATGTGGTTCTGTGTGTATGTGTGTGTTATGCTGATTCTGAATGTGTAGAATAGTTGGATGAAGAGGGGTTTTTTTTTAATTGCCTTTGTCCAAAACAAGGATTTCTGTAAGAACTTAAAAAGCTTTCCTCTATCTGGGTTTTTATGTCCTGGGAGAAGGTTAGAGTTCTTTTTACTTGTACTTTTTTTCTTTTCATTCAATTCATGTATCTTTATAGTTTTTACTTTAATAATATGAATCTGGTGGGTTGAACAGCTGTGATGAGTGCTTCCTGATTATGACTTGAGTTATGTTTCTAAATTGCTTGATGTCCTAATTCAAAATCAGTAGGCTTTTCTGAGCGTCTTCCTCTTCTGTCTGATTTTGATAGGATATTAGCTCCATTTCCTTTTATATGTGTTAAACGCTTTCTGAACTCTAGCCATTTCTTGTCTGTGTATTCTTCTGTTTTTCCCGTATAATGTTGAGTTCAGTGAAATGCCATTGGAGCAGTTCCTATCATCTTGGAGTGGCTCCTATCATTTGATCAGGAGACAAAACCTATCTCATTTTTCTGGTTTTCTAGGATTATCCTAAAGATGCAGCACTGAGCAGCATTTAGGGGGATAGTAGTAGCCAGGTTTTAAACTCAGTGTTCCATAATCTTACTACCAACTACAAAGATAAAGTAGCGCTTATTCTCTTACAAGATCCTTACTGAAGTGTTTTTGGAAACTGGATCCATATAGCATTTACTCAGGTTGAGGTGAGGTTGGAATTGTTAGATTGAGTTGGTCTTTGGCATGTGAAGGCTAAGTTGCAATTTATTGGTATACATTTATAAATATAGGGGGCCAGGACGTGTATGGTGGTAGATAATTGTCTTGGAACCTTTTTGAAAGTATTTGATCCTATTGAGTGGTCGTTTGTAGTCTAGAAATATAGGGGTAGCCTGACATTGGGTTTCTTGCGTTCTGTC